TGCATACATACATTGATACATTACATTACACTACATTACATACATACATACACACATACAATTACATACCATAGCATGACATGACATAACATAACATACATTGCATACATTTCATACATCTCATTCATTGCACACATTTCATACATCTCATTCATTTCATGCGTTTCATGCACGCGTACATACATACATACATACATACATACATTACATTACATTACATTACATCACATCACATCACATCACATCACATTACATTACATTACATTACATCACATCACATCACATCACATCACATTACATTACATTACATTACATTGCATGCATACATACATACATTACATTACATTACATTACATTACATTACATTACATTACATTACATTACATTACATTACATTACATTACATTACATACATGCATACATACATACATTACATACATACATACATACATACATACATACATACATACATACATACATACATACATACATACATACATACATACATACATACATTACATACATACATACATACATACATACATACATACATTACATTACATTACATTACATTACATTACATTACATTACATTACATTACATTACATTACATTACATTACATTACATTACATTACATTACATTACATACATACATTACATACATACATACATACATACATACATACATACATACATACATACATACATACATACATACATACATACATACATACATACATACATACATACATACATACATACATACATACATACATACATACATACATACATACATACATACATACATACATACATACATACATACATACATACATACATACATACATACATACATACATACATACATACATACATACATACATACATACATACATACATACATACATACATACATACATACATACATACATACATACATACATACATACATACATACATACATACATACATACATACATACATACATACATACATACATACATACATACATACATACATACATACATACATACATACATACATACATACACATACATACATACATACATACATACATACATACATACATACATACATTACATACATACATACATACATACATACATACATACATACATACATACATACATACATACATACATACATACATACATACATACATACATACATACATACATACATACATACATACATACATACATACATACATACATACATACATTACATACATACATACATACATACATACATACATACATACATACATACATACATACATACATACATACATACATACATACATACATACATACATACATACATACATACATACATACATACATACATACATACATACATACATACATACATACATACATACATACATACATACATACATACATACATACATACATACATACATACATACATACATACATACATACATACATACATACATACATACATACATACATACATACATACATACATACATACATACATACATACATACATACATACATACATACATACATACATACATACATACATACATACATACATACATACATACATACATACATACATACATACATACATACATACATACATACATACATACATACATAACATTACATTCCAGTACATTACATTACATTACTTACATTACATTACATACATACATACATTGCATACATACATACATACATACATACATACATACATACATACATACATACATACATACATACATACATACATACATTACATACATACATACATACATACATACATACATACATACATACATACATACATACATACATACATTACATACATACATACATACATACATACATACATACATACATACATACATACATACATACATACATACATACATACATACATACATACATACATACATACATACATACATACATACATACATACATACATACATACATACATACATACATACATACATACATACATACATACATACATACATACATACATACATACATACATACATACATACATACATACATACATACATACATACATACATACATACATTACATACATACATACATACATACATACATACATACATACATACATACATACATACATACATACATACATACATACATACATACATACATACATTACATACATACATACATACATACATACATACATACATACATACATACATACATACATACATACATACATACATACATACATACATACATACATACACATACATACATACATACATACATACATACATACATACATACATACATACATACATACATACATACATACATACATACATACATACATACATACATACATACATACATACATACATTATACATTACATACATACATTACATACATACATACATACATACATACATACATACATACATACATACATACATACATACATACATACATACATTACATACATACATACATACATACATACATACATACATACATACATTACATTCATACATACATACATACATGCATACAGTTACATACCATAGCATGACATAACATAACATAACATACATTACATGCATTTCATTCATCTCACTTGTTTCATACATTTCATACACACTTACATACATACATACATACATACATACAGACAAACATACGTACGTACGTACGTACATACATACATACATATGTTGCATACATACATACATACATACATACATTACATTACATTACATTACATTACATTACATTACATTACATTACATTACATTACATTACATTACATTACATTACATTACATTACATTACATTACATTACATTACATTAAGTACGTACATACATACATTACATTACATCTATACATAATTTTACATACATACATTACATATATACATAACATGACGTGTCCTTGACATGACATGTCATAACATAACATACAGTACGTCTCATTCATTTCATACATACATGCATGCATACATACATTACATACATTGATACATGACATTACACTACATACATCTGATACATTAGATTACACTACATTGCGTGACATGACATGACACATACACGTGTACATACATATGTATTTCAAAAAAAATAGGGAGGCTCATCCCACCCGGCCTCCAGACGCTGGGCCACGCGGCTCAGCGCGAAGCTCGGGGCCTGGGCGTTGGCCGCCCCGTGGAGCTCCAGCGCCGCCCTCGAGCGGTTGGTGACCTGGGGCCAGTTGGCGTCTTCGAAACGTGTCTTTTTTGGTCTTTTTGAGGGAAACTGGCATTATAGCGAAGCATCCCCTCAAGCATCCCCTTTGTTGGTCTTGAGGGAACCAAAAGGAAACGGTTTGGTGTCTTTTTTGGTGTTTTTGTGGTGTTTTTTTGGTGTTCCTATGCGTCCTGACAGCGAAGCCAAAAGGAAACCTTGGTATGTCATTTGGATCTGGTGTTCGCGTTTTGTCACTGGGAACCAAAAGGGCAATTTCGCGTCTTTGCTGATACCCTTTCTTTGGCGTCTTTTTTGCTTTTCTGTTTCATTCGGGATGTCGGAATAAAGGCAACTGTTGCCATTTTGGGGGTCTGAAAAAGCCAGCATGTCTGACTTGTGGTACCGAAAGGGAAACCCACAGAGGAGTTTCTCCAAATCGATTTCGCAAAAGGGAACCAAAAATTACCATTGTGAGGGATCACTATCTTTTGGAAATTATCAGAATGTCCGACCCCTACAAAAATATCACAAGGATAGGCCGAGTGGGTTGGTTTCTTTTTGTTGTTCCCTCGAAGCTCTTCAAAAAAATTGGCCTCCAATCTTGAGACACCCCCACAAAGCTATGAGATGTCGACATAAACTCTGACGTCCACCACTCGCACCATAGCACCTGACAGGGGAATGGGTTTCCCCCTTCAGGTAGCGGGTGGACGTCAAGTTCACAAAATATAAATCTAGTGGGCGTCAAAGAGCTGACTGGGCTCCAGGTTTACCGAGGCCTCTCGTGCCCTCATGGCCTCATGGCACGCAAAGGCAAAAGAAATCCCCAACGGGTCATGCCACCAAAGAGGTTTGGGTTGGGCCGGCTGCTTGTTGAAACACACTGAAACAACTGTTTAACCATTCATGATTCATAACCATTCTCTTGAAAGAGAAGCTGGTTGTTCAAATATCGCCCAACCCCGAAGCCCGACGAAGCGTCAGACCTGCCTTGGAATCGCCCAGCGCGCAGTACACCAAAGCATCTGTGGAATAGTAAAAGAAGCCCTTCACATAGACCTGCGATGCGAGGAAGCTTGATCCCCGTCCCTCCCCCAAAGGTCGCGCCCCAAAAAGCCAATCCGGCTTGGTGCTCGGTCCGGGCCGAGTGGCCAGGTACAGGCGCAACGTAAAGCGGCGCCCATCCAGCAGCACACAGTCCTTGGAGCTTTGCATACAAAAAAGGACATGTTGGTTTGCACACCGTCACTAAACCTCGCTTGAGCAGTGTTTGGCTGGGGCGTGTTTCGGCACATTCCATGCTGAGCACTGGCCCAAGCACCACACAAGTCCAGGCCAGAGTGGCATCTTTGTCCTCTTGCAGAAGGTGGGGCTTGCGCACACCCTGGCCCCAAACAAGTGGCACAGAGTTTGCTGAAACCCTCGATGCCGTCCAAAGCCCTACAGTACGCTCACGGCCCCGAAATTGCTTGGTGTCCTTGTGTTGCCCCGAGATTCCAAGCCAAAAATCGTCCATTTCCGGTGCAGGTCCAGCCGAGGAGTTCAACTGAACTGGCCCACTAAACGCACCAAGCTGGAGAGAGTCCTAATCCGTGCAGTCAAATGGCCTGATGTTGATCCCACTTTCAATCCAGCTTGATTGGGACATTTCAAGTCTGGTGCGGTGAGGGGATTCACCCAAATTCCTTGGTTTTTAAGTCTCACAAAAACAAGACAACTGCTCAGTCGACCACTTTTGCAGAATTGCACGCTGGATTTTTATGTGGAATGTGTTCGATGGCTACCATCATGCAAAACTGTGCCTGAGAAATGGAACTCGGATTGTTTTCATGATGACATGCCTGCTATGCCTCCTCACATGTGTGGTCCTCGCGTTGTGGGCAATCTGAGGAGCGGCCATCGGTCGCGGGTTTTGTTTAGGGACCGCCCGCCACCCAAATTGCAAGCCTTCGGAAGCAACTATGAAGGGGCCGTAGAAACTCCTTGGAGAAGCTCAGGCTCCAATAAGAAAATGCGATGTCCCTGACCAAAACGCCAAAGCGACTGGCCCACCTGAATCGCCTCCACCACCCGCCCTGGTGGCAAGTAGTGCGCGCTGTGGCCCCCGTGGCCACTGGCAGCTTTCAGCCACCACCTAGGCTTTCATTTTGTTTTCCCATTCTGCAAACCTTGGCCCATTATCCCCCCGACCCCCTTTAGCATGGAAATCATACGAATTGCAGTCTGCAGCAGAACGCGAATCCAGCTTTCAAGTCACCACCTTGCGGCCTGAGTACAAAACGACGGCAAGGTACCTAAGCAACAAACAAAGCGGGGTAAATGAAGACAGTACACGGACTTGAGTTGCTTTGAGGTTAATCTCATTCAGTGTTGAGTGACTTGGGCCTGCAATGTGTCAGGCTCGTCCTGCAGCATGGCTCTTTCTTTCCTGCCATGCCGTGATCGGCTCGTGCTGTTGGATCCTCTAAGCAAAGTGGTAAGCGTGACATTGAGTTGGTGCCAAGGGTAAATACAACAAGACAAACTTTCGCACATCCCAAAAGGCAATGAAGAATTGTCACCCTCACGCAGCTCAAAGCTTCGGCGCGTACTGGCCAAAAACTACTATGGTCATGCAATTGCAAGCTCAGCTCTTCGAAGCCAGCTTGCCAAAGACTACTTTGCACCAGTCATCCTTGGTGCGCAACAAAGGGCCATTGGCCTTGCTTCGACGCTGGGATGTGGGAGCCATCGCCACTTCCACTGCACAGTCGAGTTGCTGGGCGGCCCACCCGCTTTTCCCCCCGCAACTCAGAAGATGCCGGAGCCCGCACGGTTCTTCTCCCGCGCCTGTGCGGCCTGCCAATTCTCTCAACACAGGGCCTCACTGAAAAGGCCGGTGCCGCCCTGCCAAGCGCGCAACAAGGAGCTACCCGTGGGATCAGTTGTCATGACAGCACGGTGCCACATTAGAAGGTAAAAACTTGACCGCAGCGAGAGGGGTCCTTCCCCAAAATTTTGGCCGACTGGTACTTGTGCCCAACTTGGCAATTGGCACAGCGCGTCACGTCCAGCTGGCCACTCAAACCCTGCTCGGTTGCCGGATCCAAGACAAAATGGTGGTGAGGGAAGCCATGGGACCCCTTGAAGCGTTCTGGTGAAGCGTTCCGGTGCAGCGTGCGTATCTGAAGTGCGCCCACCCCGAGTGCGCCTTGTTCTGGCTCTCCATGTAGGCACTGCGCGACTGCTCCGCGTCATACTTTTGCAGGGATGCATCCGAAAGTTTCGCCGCGTGGGCGCGCTTGTCTGCCATGGTGACCCTCTCCTCCTGAGGTGGACCGTACAGCATGAGACTTACACAAGCCCATGTTCCTCTTTGGCTTGATCATGGGCAGCACGCCATTGATGTAAACATAGACCGCTACTTATTTGTGCATAAGTGTTTAAGAACCAATATGCATGTATTATGTATGCATACATACGCATGTGTGCATGTGTGTGTGTGTGTGCGTTCCTCCCTGCATGTACAACAAGGAAACTGGAATTGTAACTTCCTGCAAGTCTGGTTAAACCGGGGGCACTTTCCCATCGAGGTACGCTCTGTTGTTTGGTGGCTTTCAGCCTATCAACTCAACCCAACTGCTGGCGTCCACTGCCATCTTGTCCACAACTTGAAACCGCTGCCCGGCTTTCACCTAAAACTACATGAAGCACTCTGGCCTCCTGATGGCCTCGTGTGAAAGGCAGGGAAAACACCCTCCCAACAAACCGAGGGCCAACCCCCTGTTCAAACATGTCCAGACGCTGTTGAACAACCTCTTCTTGAAAGGCCTCGCTCTCTCTGCCGCACCATCGGGTAGTTTGTTTCAACCTAATTTTGCCCAAGCCCCCATCCAAGACCTTTAAAGGCCCCCCAAGACCACCCGCCCCCAAGCCCCGCGTGGCCTGCTTCGGCTCCAGGCCGGCCATTTGCCGCAGGGGCGCCTCGAACTGGTCCAGCGCCTCATAGACCTTAAGCATGTGGACATGTCCAAATGTGGAGTGTTTCGCCAAATAGGGGCCCAAAATGGTTGGTTTCATTTTGGTCTCCCCAACCATTTTGAGAAAGACCCATTCACATGTGTGGCTTCCTTTTGGTGTCCCTTCAACACCATGCCAACACGGCCCCCATTTTGAGCCGCATGTCGGATTGCTCTGCTCCGTCGGTCCAGGACAGCAATCCCACGGAAAGGCGAGGTGGGGGACTTCCCCCCAGATGTCCCTTGTCCCCAAGCATTGGCTTCGGCCATTTCACGTCTCCAGCCTGATCGTCGGTCATGCCCTTGTCAAAGCACTGCTGGATGAACTGCATCTTCTCCGACTGCATTTCAGCGGGGGCGGGCGGCGCGCCTCGTTGGGGGCCGCTTCCACGTTTGGCGGCCGAGGACGAAACACGGCAATGAGAAAGTGGCAATTTTTCCGAGGGTGCCATATCCGGGGTCATTTGAAAGGGTTGCTCTAGCGCACCTCCAATTAAATCAAGATGACACCCAAGCCCCACCAAACACAAAGCTGTGAGCTAGGCCTCCCACCCGTCTCTCAAAACGGCCATCGATCCATTCGCTCCCTGCAATTCAGGAGCTCTGCCCGGGCTTGGGGCTGGGTTCCTTCCACGGCACCGTGGACTGAGGCTCCTTCGCCTGGCTTTTGGAGCCGAGGCGGTGGTGTTTCAGGGTGAGGACTCGAGGACCTCTGTCGCTCTCTCTCCAGCATCCTCGAGCAGGTCTCGCTCGTCCCAGGTCAGGGATGCTAAAAACAGCCACTGGCAGGTCCTCACCCTATGTTGATTTATGTTCGAAGCTTTTGTTGCTGTATTTTTTGTCGGTGTTTCCTAGGGGCGTCCCATAAAGGGGAATTTATTCGCAGTTGAGGGAAACGAACCCTCACAATCCAAGAGATTGATTAGCCAAGATCGGAATGAGCGACGGGGAGCCGGTTGGCTACCCTATGGACTTCAGCTTGCATTTTACTAGACCGTGGAAGAGCTGGTCTGAAGCTTCGCAACTCACCTCGCTCACAAGCCTATTTTGGGGGGAATGGGATCCACTGTCCCGAGACGACAGGCTGGCCAGCCCACTGCATGAGGAAATGTCTGGCTGATACATCACTACATTCACTACCACGCGAATACTTGCCGCGCGCGAGACATGGCATCCCAAGAGCCGAATGCCGCTCGCAAGGACTACACCAAACAAGGGCTTGGCCACGAAATTTTTGGCACATTTTCACTTCGCGATCCCACGCAGGTCACATGGACCTGCGCTTGGAGCCTCTCCCACCAAAAACTACGCCCAACCCCGCGAAAACACGGTGTTGTGTACAGTCCCGCTGAACATCACCCCACCAGACGGAAACTCAGTTCAAATTGGCAACCAAAAGCTAATGTATACAAACCACTGTTATGGGGGGCTTCTTGCTATACCGACACCAACAGGCTTCCATTTGCTCAAGTCCGCCGAAATTAAAAATATTTAAACATACCGACTTCCTTTGCTTTTACAACCAGGGGAAATAGACACATGCCTCGCTTTGGTTGGACGAAGTACTGATTCACACGTTCGTTGCAAATACCAGCTCTGCTCCCCGCAAATGCCAGGAGAAACCTCGCTGGGACTTCCACCACTCCACCACTCCCGGCGTCCCGGCACGCGGCGTGCTGGCCTCGCGGCGGCGGCTGGCCTTCTCCGACGCCAGGGTGTGCGCGTCGGGCTTGTCGGAGTCGTCCCCTCAAAACCGACCGGGTGGGGGGGGGTCGCGGAGGGTAAAACACCCCAGGCCCCGGATAGAACCCTCCTGGCCACATGGCAAGAATCTGGGGCCTGGAAAAACAAAGGCTCCTTTATTTCTTAAAAGGGACACTCTGGTGGGTTCGGAATTTGTGGACAGGAGGGTAAAGAGCAGGAGGGTAAAGAGAAAGGAAGACCGGCGACAAATGTCCTATCCCCACGTGGCTTGCACCCATCCAACCACTCCGCTTCACTGGGTTTCAACAAAACACCTTGAAAGTTTGCAGAAAAGCCGTCGAGGCACCCCAAGGACAGGTGCTGCGGGGCGCCGGGTTCTGGGCATAGCGCGACATGGCGGATCAGCGGATGTCTGGTTGTCTGGGCCACTAGCGTCTGCAAAGACGCTCGCGCTCGCCACTTCAGGGACTTCCAGCGAAAAACGATGTTGCGTCTCTTCGTAGGAAGCTGTAGCAAACCAAAATTCAAAAGCAACTTGACTGAAAAGAACGCGAAACCAACAAAGCCAGACAAGAACCCATCAGAAGACATCTTAAAGTTCCCGGCTGCAGACCGCTCCAAATGATGCATAAGCAGCCAAGCCGAGCAAAGGGAGCCAACTGCAGCCTTGGACCAGCTCTGCCTCTTGAGTGGCTGGCCTTGCCAGCAGGGCACGTAAACTTGTCTGTTGCAAAGTGGAGTTGAAGCTTTGATGGGTTCCCTTGCAGCCCACGGGTTGCTGTAATCGAAGTGCGTGACAACACAGGAGGCAAGGAACCTCCAGTCCGGTCACAACTGGGACACTCCAGACAGAACCTGCTGCAATCTGGGAGTCCCTTGCAGAAACTCCTTGCCCGCCTCCCTGAGCCTCGGACTTGCCAAGGCAACACACGTCTCAGGCCTCCTTTGCCATGAGGCCCCCCACAAAAAGAACAAGAAGAAGCTGCCAAGTCCACGAAAAACTGCAACAAGCGAGCGCCGGCGGCCCGGTTTTGCCTCGCTGCGGCTATTGCACAGTTCGGGAAAGTTTGGGCCCAGTGGGAAAAGCGGAGATGACATCACCCAATGGGAATGCCACCTCCGCGCAGATACAAGCTCTGGCACATATTGGCCAACAACTAGCTGCACATGCAATTGCAAGCTCTAACTCATGAGAACAGATCATTTTGCACCTGAACTCCTTGCGGTGCATATGAGCAATGAGCCACTCGCTGTGGATACATTGGATGCCGGCATGGGCAAGCCAGTGTAGCCCGACTTTGGCTCACCGTGATTCGCCACTGGCATCACTCAGAAGATGCCAGAGCCCATGCGATTCCTGTCCCTTGCTTGCTGTGCCTGGTGGCCGGGCGTCAAATAACGGCGAGCATCTACTGGAAGTGGCTAGCCACCATGTCTACCCGCTTGTGAAGATTGAAGTGCAAACTACAACTGAGGGATCCCCAAGTTAGGATCCTTTGTGGCGGTGCTCTCCTGGCCCAGGTGAGTTGCTTAGAGCTTGCCCTATGGCCTAAGCCTCGAGAAACCGGCATCTAAACTGCCTTGCCGGGTCTAGTTGTGCCAAACCGAAACAGCGCAAAAGCCCGACCCTTTCCGGGCATGCATGCTGCACTGTTTCACTGGAAAAAGCACCACAATTCACAAACATGGGCCAAATCAATCGCTTTGCTCCCGAGTCGATGCGCTCGTGTCAATTTGCGCGGCCCCCTGGTTTTCTTTGGGTAATTTTGGTGGGCCTCCTTTGAGTCACAACCTAACTGGCTTGAAAGCGGTCTACTTCCACATCAAGAATTACAAGGGCGGCACCCATTGTATGCTTGGGACTACCCCCTACCCTTCGGGGCAACCCACAACCAAGCTTCTCCTGGATCTTCGATCATGGCTCATTTAGGTGTTGATTGTGGGGTTCCCCTCAAGCCAAGCCCACCTAGGTTTCGCCCCCTGCCTTGTTCTGGCTGTCCATGTAGGCGCTCCGCGACTTCTCAGCGTCGTAGTTGCCGAAGGATGCCTCCGAGATCTTGGAAGCGTTCGCGCGCTTGTCCGCAAGGGTCACCCTGACATCCTCAAACCGAATCGCAAGGCGGTGAGGGCTAGTTGGAAAATGAGCAAACCCCTTTGGGCTTCTCTGTGCGCAAACTAAAAATCACGGGCTATTTTGCACCCAGCAAAAAGCAATGCGTACGCAGATACGGATGTGGGTGTGAATGTTCATAGGAAGCACCTCCAAAGTGATTGATGGACATGAACCTCCACTGAAACTCATACGCACGTGAGTAGCGCTGGCCTGTTTTGGCTCCATGCCCAACTGGCGGGGTGCTTCATAGTGGTCGAGCGCTTCGTAGACCTCGCGGGGTCGGCTGATTAGTTGAGGGCGGATTGCATTTGGTAGGCGTCATGTGCTTGGTCGACCCGCGTCCTCATGGTTGTGTCTTTGAACCCCGTTTGCGGCTGGGTCAGAGACCAAAGCAGAACCATCTTGGAGCCCCAAATCAAGTCCGTTTGACCGACCACTGCAGAAGGCTGGGCTCCAGTCAGCTGCCTGATCCTCGGTCATGCCCTTGTCGAAGCACTCCTGGATGAACTCCATCTTCTCCGACTCGATGTCGTGCGGGGAGGGCGCTGCGCCTCGTTTCTGACCCCACAGCCACGCCTCTCCAAAAAGTGGAGGAGGGAGAAAGAGAGATAGAGAGCAAGGAAGGGAGGAGACGGAAAGAAGGGAAGAAGGAAAAGCGGAAAGAGGAGGAAAGGAGGAAAGGAAAGGACGAAAGGACGAGAGGACGAAAAGAGGAAGCGAAAGTAAGGGCAACAAGAAAGAAACACCTTGTCTGAGACTACCACGAATCTGAGTGCAACTGCGAGATCTACATGTCGCACCCTGTGCCACAATTGCTCAGAGGCTCTAAAAAATCACAAGTCCCGAGTCCCTTTTGAGACAACTTTGAACCCAGCTTATTCAAACAACCCTTCGGAAAGAGACCATGCCTTGGGATAAGAATTTCAGGGGACAGCCATGGATATCGCCGGAAACTCCTTGAAAATCAGCAACTTTGAGAAATAGTTGTTTCAGACAACACACTTTGCAGGAACACATGTTGAAGTTCTTGAGGAGGAACAAAACAAAACCCGGGCTCGAGAGAAAACCCTCAGAATAAGCATCTCCGGGATTCGGAGAAACATCTTGAGACCTGGTATCGTGATAAAGTACTCAATGGCAAATCTCGAGATGCATGATGGAGAAACCATGCAGAACGAGTATGTATGAAATGATTTGGACGACAAATTGCTGAAGCCAAGGAGTCGTGCTAGATTGAAAGCCCTTCAGAATGAGCATCTCAGCAGCAAGTACTGACAAGTGCTCTCGACTCAGATTTAAAAAGAAATCAGACAAGCAAACAAAAACTGGTTTGACAGCATGAAAACGTTCAGCATGAGGTAAAATTAATTCAGGCCCGAGGTGGGGCAGACCCTATTCAATTGCTATGCACTTGTTGCGGCTACTTCATGCGCTTCAGGAAGTGTCTGCTGCCGCGTGTGTTGCCGGTTCAATGCACAGAAACACGACACCCCGCCACCATCCTTACTTTCAAAAGATCGCATACCAAAAAAGGGAACAGCTTCCTTTTCTGTTGTTCTGCACCAGGCTTTCGACACTGAAGCCTCTTGTCTGCCCTACTAAGGACTGCTTAAGAAGCCCTGCTACAAGCTTAGACCTCGTGTTGAAACCATCAAATTGATTCAGACAAAGTCTCTCCAAAACCCTGGCAAACGGTCGTGTCAGCCATTCAACCAAAGGGTGTACGATAGAATGGACACTTCAATATCCATCGCTGGGCAGAGGAATGTCCCGATACTTTCGGGATATGATCGTGCTTTCCACTGCTGCTTTCCACTGCCATGCAAGATGCGCTGACGCTCCGACTGTTTGGGGGAGACACCACGCATGCTCGCCTGGATGGCCTCGTGCATGACAATGCCTCGCGAGCCAAGGGGCACTGCTCCTTCTTGGGGCTGGCCTCCTTCCATGGCACCGTGGGGCGCGGCACGTTGGCCTACGGCCGCAGGCACGACGTCTGAGAAACATCGCAAGTGACGATGTTCAATCAGAAACTGTTTGCACAAGCCTTCAAGTTCGGGGCCCAAGAGAGGTGGTTCGCTTGGTGGTTCGGAGGTCAGGGAATGGTTTCCCAATTGCCCTCTGCAAGAACCAGGGGTTCAAAATCCCCCAAACCACCAACCCAAATCACCAACTAAGGGTTTCCTGAAGAAAGCAGTCACGGGTCAAAAGGAAAAAAGCGAAGCCATTCCGTGTCTGCCCTCCAAACCCAACACCCTTTGAGGCGCCTCGCGGCGGCGCGCTGCCTTCTCGGAGGCCAAGGTGTGCGCGTCAGGGACGCGGGTGTCGTCCCCTCGCGGGTGAGAGGACGACGCGGGCAAGCAATGAAATAGGGCGAAGAGCTGACTTCACATGAAGCAATGCTAATCAGTGCTGATCAGCCTTCTAAGCAAATGCGATTCAAGTGGCAAGAACTATGTCTTGCAAAATCAAAAAATGGCCCAAATCCCAACTGGTTGGAGGGGAGCATGACAGAGGCATGGGGTCTCTGAATTTGAGAAACCGGAAAACCAAGCGACATCACCCCAAATGATTCAATTGCAGAACGTAAAGCCACCCCTGTGTGATCTCCCCTGCCCTGCCTGAGGGCATGAAAACAACTTGGCCAAAAGACCCAGAAACAACAATTGGTGCCTCCTACAATTACCCACTTGCGCGCCTGGCTTGGACAAGTCTTCTTCAGTGGTATCTGCGAACCAGGAATGTAAACAAGCAGGTGGCAAAGCATGCCGCCAGCCAATGTGTAGCTGCAGCAGTTGATCTCCACCCCTCCCCAGCTTTCGGGAACAAACCAAGGATTGAATACAGTGCTTGCTGACATGATTTTTGGCTATTTCGCTTGTGCTGACAAGCTGCCCCAAGGGCAAGTGCTGCGGGGCGCCGGATTCTTGGCAAAGCGGGACATGGCGGGTGCGAGTTCGGGCGGAAGCGCTGAGGGATGGAGCTTGGGTCAGAAATGCCTGCGAAAGGTGGCTGCTGTCCGGTCCGATCTCTGGGTCACTATTCAAAAAACACCCATGGGCGAGTCCAATGATTAACTGCTCGAGTCACGGCATTGCCCCTGACCCCAAGTCAGCCGCCGGCAATGTTTGGCAATCACGGTACTTGGGCATGTGTTTTGAATGGGGACCCTGTGGGCAAAATCCACATGGGACACCAAGGTGGAAGTGGTCGGCACAATTCCGTTTACGTGGGTAAGTGCAGGGGATGACAAAACCAAAATGAAATTATGCCATCTTTCACCCAACTGTATGTCAACGAGTATGGGATTTTTTTTGAGTCTGGTAACGCCACTTCTTGCAACAACCGGGGAGAGCAGAAGGGTTCCCCACACTTTCCTGTCAGCTTCCAAACCAAGGCGCCCTGAGCTCGTCAGAAAGGCCCGCGCCGCCGCCGCAGCCTGCTTAGGCACTGCAAAGCTGCGGGGCCAACAAAGGCGCAAGCGCCGCTGGTCCAACGTGGCCTGCCAACGCCATCATGACATATTCTGCAAATGGTGCTTCAAAGGCTGGCCTGGCCTTCCACGTTGCGTGTGACAGCACCACAGTAAAATCTGGCCGTGAACGTGCAAATTCCTCCCACCCACTTGCCCTCCCACCATAAGAAGTTCATGTAGACGGCATTTGTCCTCCAGCACGCCCCAAGCAGTGAAGTCCACCAAGCGGTTCGCCGCTGCAAGGGCTAAGAGCTCCCCCTCGCCCTGGGCGAAACAAAAGGATGGACGCAGTGTGCCACCTGGAACAACCCTCCAACGGTTGCGCAATGTCTGCTGGCATGGCCAAACTTCCGGACGGGTGAGAGGCAGCCCAAGTAACGGTAAGCAAACTCCCTGACATGTTCCCAGCAGAAGCGTTTCCTGCCGTAAGGTCCTCGCGTAAGCTTTTACTGCCAGTGCTTGCGTTGAAGCGAACTGACCATCCAAAAACGCAGCTTTAACCGGGGACGTGAGCCGCAGCCAACCCTTGAGGCAAAAACATGCGAAGAGCATCTCAACACCAGAAATTGAAAAAAAAAAGAAGAACGCAAGCGTGTAGAAACGCGCGAAGCAACCAATAAGTACGGGTACCGTTTCCGCGACGCTCTGAGTCATGTTGGGCTCAGCAGCCGGCCACCGCTCCATAAAAAAAAATCCCGGAGCTTTGCCCAGAGTGATTCTTCCGGAACCCGACTGAGGAACTTGCTCGGACACCCCGCAGCAGCTATCAGATTCGGGGAACCCAAAGCACAAGTAGGAAAAACAGTTTGATGAAAACAAACCTCAACCCCGAGCTTTGCAAACTAAAAGGCCATGCGAATAAATTCGCACACTTTTCAGATATGCTCAGAAGGATGCAAAACGATTCAAAATCACGGGGGGGTTACAACCACGGGGTGTAAAATCTTGAACAAGAATCTTAGCTTGGTAGAAACCAATGGCCCATCATCCAGAACCGATTTCCCCCACCACCCTGCCTCCTGCGCTTGCTGGGGCGTCTGCAGCCGCTGCGTCAGCGGCAACAGCTCAGGCCCAGCGGAAGCCTCTGCTTGACCTCGGCTGCGAGTTGCCTGTTAGCTCCGAGCGCGCGCTGCGTGCCTAGATTATACGCCTCGGCTTTCCTTGCGGCGCTTGGCTTTTCCCGTGCTGCAAGAAGCATCCCCAAACGTTGCCAACGCATCGGCCGTCACCAGGTTGCAATTGCCACCTGGCCGTTTACGCGTGCTTCTTGCGCGCCTGGTTGCTCAGCGGCACAGCTTCGGTCTTCCCGGGCTTTGCTGGCCTTGCCCCGGAAGGCCAAGCCCCGCTTCGCCCCGTCAGCAACCAAGCGACCACTTTTTTTCCCGGCTGGGCTGTCCAGCTGCTTGGCTTCATTTCTTCTCGTCCCGGCTGCCTGGCTGCTTGGCTTCGGTTGCTCGGCTGCTCTGCCCCACAGCTTGGCCTTCGGCTGCTCGGCTGCTCGGCTGCCCGGCTGCCGGGCTGCCCGGCTACGCGGCTGCCCGGCTGCTTGGCTTCGGTTGCCCGGCTGCTCGGTTGCTCGGCTGCCCGGCTGCTTGGCTCGGCTGCTCGGCTGCTCGGCTGCGCCGGCTGCCCGGCTGCTCGGCCTGGCTGCCCGGATGCCTGGCTGCCCCATGCCGAGTTGCTTGGCTGCGTGGACAATCAGCTGCGCATCCCTCGGCAGCCCAGCACTCCCGTTGACGCCTTTCGCGTTGCTGACTACCATGGCGCATCTGCATAGAAAGGCATCACCGCTTGGTGCTGCTTGACACTTTGGGACATACTTAGGATGCCACTTGGAGCTGCCCTTCCCGAATAGCTTGGGACATGCCAGACAGTGTCACTTCTTTCCATCTGCCCACCTTGGGCCGAGGGATGGCGAACGATCAGCATAGCGTCAGGCGTGAGCACAGAAAGGCCATCCACAGGCTCAAATCTAGCTTGGCCGGCATTTCAACCGGCCACAGCACATCACCCTCAAGAGGCGTCAGTCACGAAAACGTCACACTTGCAAAAAGCTATTCTTTTGCATGGTGCCTGGCAGGAGTAGAGGGTTGGCACGTTTGCGCCCGTTACAAAGAATCACTGTTTGGCTTGTCAGGCAGCAGCCCAACTGCCTTGACAGCTTGATGAAGAAACCTGCCTCACCAGGTCGCAGCATTTCGGAGAACCGAATCTTCAGACAATCCACTCCTTCCCTTGGCCAAGGGGCACAGCAAATCCTCAACCTCCTTGGCCCTGCCCCGGCGCAGCCACACTGCCATGGCCAGCCTATGTCGGGCAGCCGGACCCCCAACGCGGGCTGCAACTATCGAGCTAAACCTCTAGGATCAAGCTGACGAGGGTGCAATCGCAAAAAAGAATCAAAGAGGTATCCTGATTTCATGCCTCTGGTCCATGCTGGTTCCCGGGGGAAACGAATCTCTGGGCCCAGGTGGCCAAGGCAAAGCAAGCCCGCCCACCCTACCCAAAGAAAAACGACTCAGACCCCGCCAGGATCCACGTCGGGTGTCAATCAGCCACCAAGATTACGCACCAAAAAGAGAAGTAGATGCTCCAATACAGAAACAGACCTCTTGCAGAGCAACTTGCAGAGCCAAAAGAATGGCAGTCTGTCAGCAGCAGCCTTCCTCGACGCCAAGGCAAGAAAACAGAGAATGAACAAAATGCTCCAAACAGGACACGGAATCCTCAACCACGGTACCACCAGAGCCCTGCGCCATGCTAGCTAATTGGCTTGTCAAAAGGGCTTGTGAGCCTGAATGAACACGAGTTCTCTGAGTTGCTCGCCAACAAAAAAGATGAAGGAAGTAATTGAATCCCCTACAATCCCCTCTGTGCAATCACAACTCCAGGAGGAAAATACGATGTGCCGAACAATATCGTTAAGCGACCCCACGCACGCACACACACACACACACACACACACACACCAGTCCGTCCTTCCGCCCGCACCCCCGACACACCCGCACACCCGCCCAGCCATTGTACAAAGTTGATGGCCAAACTCCGAAACAGACAACTGACACTGACACTAAAATAAGGTCCAAGCCGCAAGACTGAATCTTCCTTTCATCCAGGTTGGGCTAACCCCCCGCTGCTTGGTTACAAACAGCACCAAGGCGCAGCAGCAGGTTCCGCGAGGAGCCTCTGGGCGTCTTCTTGGGACAAAAACTTTTGATCAAGGGACCACCCATTGGTTTGTTTCGGGCTCAGTAGGACTTCGGGCTCCAAATTGCAGCTCACGCTTCACCTCTCTTTTTGGCTGCGGGGGTCAACCGCTTCTGGGTTTCGTCAAAGCCTTAGAACAAAAAATCCCCCGGGCCATGATGGGGCGCCTTTGGCCCGGCCGCACTCATCTCGCCGCGCCCATCCCCGCAGCAGCTGCTCCGCTCGGCGCGGCCACGGCTGGGGGCTGCGGAGCAGCGCCAAGGCGGCGCCGCCCACCGCGGCGGCGAGCTCCGCGGCGGTGGCTTGAGACCGCCTGGTCGGGAGCGAAGGTGGGTTTTAGATGGGTTTAGGGAGGCTTGGGGTAGGCTTGGGGTTCGCCGAGCGTCATGGTCATTGCTTTTGAGTCAACATTACTTGGATGGGTTTGGAGTTTTCTACATGCCTGCAAAAACTAGCTAAAACGGTTTGCCTGGAGTTGGCTCCATGAAATTGGTGTAGGATGTTGGCCCGGTGCGCTTGTAGCTTCAAATTGGTGATTTGGTGGTTTGGCAGTTTGGTCTGAAAGCCCATGGTGTTAAAGTGATGGACCATTTGCTCGAAGCCTCATCAATAGTCCCCGGTTGACGGCAAATGGCACGGGATGGGCTCCTGGCCATTTCAAGCAACTTTGGACACCTTTAAATGTGGTGGACAATCTTTCCAACAGGAATAGTCTACAAGGGGCCTTTGCACATCCATGCTTGGTGGACGGTAGTCCGGGGCCCAAACTAGAGCCCATGTTGCGGCTCACATTGCATTTGTCCTGTTGGGGCCCTGTTGGTTGCCCGCTTCTGTGACTACAGCGACGCCCATTTTACCAAAAATGCATGCATGCATCACGCTGCTGCTTGAAATTCGCATATGCATACATAAACAAATTGAGCGAAAGAAGGAAGGAAGGAAGGAAGGAAGGAAGGAAGGAAGGAAGGAAGGAAGGAAGGAAGGAAGGAAGGAAGGAATGAATGAATGAATGAAGGAAGGAAGGAAGGAACGAACAAACGAATAAATGAATGAATGCACGAACGAACGACCGAACAAATGAATGAATGAATATATGGATGAAAATAAATGGATGAAATGAAGGAATACAGGAATGAAGGAATAAAGGAATGAAGGAATGAGGAATGAAGGAAGGAAGGAAGGAAGGAAGGAACGAAGGAAGGAAGGAAGGAAGGAATGAAGGAATGAAGGAATGAAGGAATGAAGGAATGAAGGAATGAAGGAATGAAGGAATGAAGGAATGAAGGAATGAAGGAATCTATCCATCAAGCCGAGCAGAAAAGCATGTATTGGCCGCAGGGTACATGGAGAACATCCAGTCGTTTCTTGCGGGAAACAAGGAAGGAAGCAATGAGTGAATGAATGAACGAATGAATGAAAGAATGAAAGAAAGAAAGAAAGAAGCACACTCAGGGAGGAAAAAAGAAAGAAACACTGTAGAACAAGAAAACAAAGAAAGAAGAAAGAGAGAGAGCGAGAGAGAGAAAAAAGATACATACATGTGCATGTGTATATGTATAAATATATATCTATGTGTGCAAGATATAAAGTACATATATATATATACATGTGCATGTAATGTAATGTGATGTAATGTAGTGTAGTGTAGTGTAGCGCAATGGAATGCAATGTAGATGTAATGTAATGTAATGTAATGTAACGTAATGTAATGTACTGTAATGAAATGCATGTATGTATGTATGTATGTATGTGTGTGTATGTATATATGTATGTATTCATGCATGCATGTATGCATGTATGTTTACATGCATGCATGCATGCATGTATGTGCTCGTGTGTATGGATGTATGGATGGACGGATGGACGGATGGACGGACGGACGGACAGATGGATGGATGGATGTGTGTATGCGCGTATGTGGGCGTGTGAATGTTTGTACGTGTGTATGTGTGTATTATGCGTATGTGTATGCATGTGTATGTATAGGTACAGTATATGCATATGTACATATATAGGCACACAGACATATAGATAGCTACATGTGTAGGCCTATAAAATGTATAGCAACATGTTCACATAGACACTAATATATACATAGATGTCCGTGTACATCTACACATATGTGGCTGTGGGTTTCTTTTTTTTAAAAAAGGAACCCAAAATGGCACTCGGGTAAATGGAAACAATGACAAAAACCTGTGTTGTTTTTGTGGTTTAATTTGACCCATACCCATGTATCAAAATGCGCCCAGCTTTGGCCGGGTTGGCCTCGCCTCCCGGCCTTGGCCGGCGCAGCAGCCGCCGGTACGCCCTCGCCGCATCCTCGAAGCGGCCCACTCGCCGCAGCGCGAGGCCCAGACGCAGCGCCGCCGCGGCCGGGGGCTTTTCGGCGCCTCCGGGTTTGTCGGAGGCCGAAAAAAGTGAAGGGAGATGTCGTGGTTGTTTGCAACATCTGCGTTTTTTGATCTTCAAGGACAACAAACCTGATCACGGAATTCCGTAGAACAAGAGACCCAGAAAGGGACAGAATCCAACGTGAATCTTTGCAATTTGGGGGGGGGAGGAGGGGGAGGGGGGAGGAGGGGGGGCTTTCTGCCATGACTGGTTTGAAATGGACGCGGCTAAGTGGTGGCTTAAAGGGAACCCACCTCCGAAGACCAACTTCACAGGGCCTTCATGGATAGGGCAGCGCCAGCCTTGTGTGTGTGTGTGCGCGTGTGCGTGAGATCACGGGTTTTGACGAAGTGCAACATTTAGCTCCTCAATCCTCCTACTCACCACCTTCTCAACCTCATAATTCAAGATTTACATGATCCTGTGGAAAGATTTGATGAGTATTGCCGCGCACCATCCTGCGAAATATCAATCCAACGACACAGTGAACCTTTCCCAGGCTGAGGAGCCTAGCAGAAATGCCAATGGACCACGCGATGCTAAACCCAATCAAGCCCAAATGAAGCCCCAGATGCAAGACTTCTGTGCAAGTCAGAACCTTTCGTTGGAACCCCATTAAGCGAGTCCCCTGACTGCGGCGCATATCGCCGCTTACCTTCCGCTGCCGCGAAGTGCTCCACCGCCGCGTCGTCCTCGCCCAGGTGCTGCAGCGCGTCCCCGGCAGCGCAGTTGGCGAGGCTTCGGGCCGCCGGGGCCAGCGCCTTGCGAACGAGGCGCAAGCTAAGCCAGCCCAACGGCATGTGCGACCCAGTGTGTTGCCAAGACGTTAAAACCAACAAAAGCAACCTGAGATGAACACCAGAAACTCACTAAGACCCAAACTTGCACCAGGGCCCAATGAGAAAGATTCCCCAGCGGACTAATGTCCTGTATGGCCCATGGCCGCTCCGAGGCGCTCCCGCCGCCAGCAGCTCGCGCCAGGCGGCCGCTGCCTGCGCCCAGCGCCCGGCCGCGGACAGCGCCACCGCCTCCGGCGCCGAGGCGCCCCGCCGCACCCGCGGGGGGGGCCGCACGGGCCGTGGGACCAAAGCGCCCCGCAGGGCCATGCGAGGATTCAGTCGGCCCGTTGCCTATGTTGGATGCAGGTGTGGGTGGGATGCAATCGCGCGCATGTGATGTTGGATACGGATCAGTGCAGCCCCTGACTCTGAGTCTCCATAGCCCAAGGCTTGGCCGACCCGATGCTTCAAAAGCGCTCACGGATAACGGAAGGTCTTGTTGAATGCTGGGCGAGCGAACATGAGGATCGTAGAATTGCAATGTGAGCAGGGATTATGAATTCAACATCCAAAAGCCAGATATAAATGAAAAGGAGGGGGGTCGCCTAAATCAATTGAAGGGCGCTGTCAGGCAGCCTGCCCGGAACCTCTCCAAAGCTGTCCAAGCCACACCTCTGCGTCACTTTTCTGCCTCACCGGCATCCGACTGTCACGATCCATGCGAGTCTGTATCAAAATAAAACAGGCCACCCTGGCGACTTGACGGATGAGCTCCCTAGATTTCACCTTGCAACATCACCCTGCCCTGCGCGAGTGGATCAAATATCAAAACCACTTGAAGGGGAAGTATGCGTGGACCTCCATCAGGGTGGGTCAGGCATTTACGGTACCCACTGCGAGTGGCGCGCTTCGCGCCCGAGAGCCACTCCTGACCTGTCACTTGCCCGAGGAGCTGTGGATGGGTGGAGAAATGACTTCTTTTCGCGACCCAGGGCCCTTCTTTGTTCTTGCCATTGGGTGTGAAGCCCCTTTCTTGCCAGGTTTCACAACCAAGCCCAGAGCTGGGATCGCCTTTGACCCATCAAAGCTTTACAAATGCATGTGCATATACCTAAGTGTATGTGTACGTGTCTGTGCGAGCGCGCATTCTGCACATGCGAGGGGGGAAAAAGGAGACTACACTTGTAACACTTGCGTACACATATCTATATATATATATATGTATTTCTATAGGCAAACATACATGCATACATGCATACATTGCATTGCATTACATTACGTCAAATTTCGCTACATTACATTACATTACATTACATTGCATTACATTACAATACAATACATTACATTACATTACATACATGCGTGTATATATATATATATATATATGTGTGTGTGTACGTGACTTACTTATATCATATATGTAAAAATGTATGTGTGTGGCCAGTACGTGCGCAGTGTGTGTGTGTGATTTGTCAATCAATGTAGCTGCCAGATCTGAGTTCTGGCATCCCCTCCGCGGGCCCGAGGCAGGTCAGTAGCGGCTAACGCCGACGACTGGGGGCAATTCGGAGGCACCGCCTTCCCGATCACTCCCCCCCCCCCCCCCGGTGGTGATCTGCTGATGGGCGCGGTGTGTTGAGGGTGCGCGTTTTGCTTTTTAATTCGCTGCCCACATGCGTGCCAAAACATACGAAACCGAACAAAAAGCCAAATCAAGCATGTTGTCTTACGAGCCATTCGGATTGTCCACCGCAAAACCGAGTACGACACTTTGCACTGGTGGCCTTGCAAGTGGGTTTGATGCCTGGCTTGAGTTTAAAAAAAAAAAAAAAAAAAAAAAAAAAAAAAACATCGTTTGCTTGGAAGCCTCGTACGAGGCATCATTAATGTTGCTTGGCAAGGAGGGCTTGGCAAGATCTATAACATGGTTGTCGGCATTGCTCACTAACAATAAGCCTGTAAGACTTACGTTTTTGCACCTTCTTTTGATAGGTGGCAGCGGCCAGTGCAAGGCCTTCATAGTCTGTTGCATGTGCAGCAGACTAACCCAAATGCGGAATTTCATTGGAACTGTGTAGCAAGATGGCTTCCTTGAGCAGGCAACTGGGTGCCTGAATTGAAACATCCACACATTTCGATTGTCAACGAAAAACATTCCACATATCAGCTAGCAATTTGCAAGCGAGAACCCGGAGAAAGGCCTGTTTGCAACTTGCGCAGGTGCCTCCTGCCACTTGCCTTGTTGGCTTCGATGCCAACCATGCCCGCCCGGCCGAACATCTCGGGACATCAACTTACTAAGAGGACGTGCCGATGCGACACAAGAAGGAGGTCAGGAATCCACTTAAACGAGTTGAACCCGAAACTGTCTGCGCAAACGATCAATAGCGAAATTGGCTTAGGTTCAAATCCCACCTTGACACATGAAGGATTCGGATTCAACAGAACTCCTGTCCTCGCCCCGTGCATTTTGCCTTGGGCCCGTAGGCCTCGCAAATTTCTCGAGGCCGAGAAAGCCCAGTCACTCGATGTGGCGCAAACGGCATGGGCGCAAGGCCATTTGAGAAACCCTCGAGGGCTCTTTGCGCGTGAACAGGGAAAGGGAAGGGCCCAAAGGATTCTGACATGTCAGGAGCCCTTCCCACACCCTTCAATCCAAAGGGTGCTCACTTCGAAATTGCCAACACAGTGCAAAGTCCAGCTGTGATCTGGAGACGCTTGGGTTCCGTACACTAGCCACACGGTTCATTGGTCATGCTGGTGAGATGTTCTTTCAAAATGCCAGTCTAGCTGTTGAGGCACCCTGCGTAAACTGACATCTCCGGGGTTCTCTCCCGGCAGCACTACCGCCTCTGCAAAAGTGCACACTACTGTAGCTGAGGGCTCCATCTCAGTGCCAAGGGGAGGCCCAGAAGATTGACGGGCCGTTGGTTGTTTTTTTTTAGGGGGGGAGGGGGATCCCATGAAGTGCCACAGACCCTCAGGATCACTTTTCGGGGAAACACCCCCTATTTATTCGCCAGGTCGGTAGATCCGTTGTCAACATCGCCGAAACATGAGAACATTACGCCTTCGATCTCACAAGGGCCCTGGAGAGTTGAGCCCCTTCGTCTCACGCGTCAACTGGCTGGCCAACTTGCGGACCTGGGACGCAAGCTGCGGGTTGCGCATGGACGACTTCATTTCATCAGCCCCCCATGTGACCCACGTTTGAAGTCACTGCCACCCACGTTGTTCAACTCCCAGAAATTCACTCCAGCCTCGACATACCTCAACATGTCCAATTGTCCAATGTGGCACTTCCAAACCATCGCAAGCATGGGAAAAAATGATTAGAAGTCACGAAACCGAATGCAGATTAATTGCCGCAAGCAAGCTGCCATATTGTGTGGGCCCGGCCTATCCATTTACCTGCATATTGAAATGTTGATTTGTCTAGCTACCCATCTTCCTGTTCATCCATGCATCTGGTTGTGCATCTATATGCCTACTTGTCTGTCTGCCAATCTTTCCGCCCATCTCATCTTCGAACCCGTACATCTACCCACCTATCTAACTAATTTTGCACCTACCTACCATCTACCCATCCATCTACCTAGCTTAACCTAACCAAACCTAATATGACCTAATCTAATCCATCTATCTGCCTAATCCAAACTCTGTCTACCCTAGGGACCCTACATCAACTATTGACCTATCTACCTATCTATCCATCAACCAAGTCCATGTGTGTCATCCAAGCCATCTTTCCATCTATCAGTCTTTCCGTCTATCCATCCGTCTATCTAATCTAGTCTATTTGATTTAATCCACCCATCTGTCTTTATATTCTGAACTCAATCTAATCCAGTCTATCGATCGGCCTAGTCGATCCATCTATCTTTCTTTCTGTCAGCCAATCTAGCAAACCAACCAAACCAAACCAAACCATCAGTCAATCAATCAATCAATCAACCAACCAACCAACCCACCAACCAACCAACCAACCAATCAATCAATCAATCAAGCAATCAGTCAATCTACCAACCAATCAAACAACCAACCAACCAACCAACCAACCAACCCCAACCAAACCAAACCGAACCGAAACGAACCGAACCGAACCGAACCGAACCGAACCGAACCGAACCGAACCGAGCCGAGCCGAGCCGAGCCGAGCCGAACTCAATCAATCAATCAATCAATCAACCAATCAATCAATCACGCACGAGCTCGGCAACCAACATGCCCAGGAAGGGAAGGAATCCATGGCCGCCATGCCATGGGAGGCTCAAACCCAACACGGTCACCCAAACTTACATGAAGAACGTAGCAGCGAGCATGTGAAACACCCTCTAACGTTATTTTCAGCAACCTTCAACTGCATCTAGCGATTTTTCCACTGCATGTCACTTCTTTCTGGTGCATTGGCATATGGCCTGGCGTTTGGTTCTTGGCAACGGCGTCACAAAGCCATTTGGATTGCAAAGCGCATTGTTGGACTTGGGGGTGGGCATGCTGCATGCATGCGACTGGTGGATCACAACCAGCTTCAGCCTCTCGAGTGTACCCAGCGCGGCCCACAGCAAAGCACTTGACATAACAGAGAGAGGCATCTCACGCAAATCGAGGCTTTGAGTGCACCCAAGCTTTGCGTGGAAGAAGCTCAGAAGCTGAGGAAGCTGCCAGACAGTGTCCGCACTGAAGTCGTGGCGGTGAAGACGAAGCTCATTGCAGCATCGGATGTCCATGCACTCCTGCACTTCGTGGCTTGCCGCTTTGTGGGTGGCAGCAAACCGGGCCAAGTCCACCATAGCTGTGAACTCAAACACGCTCGCCTTCTGCTCAGCCTGCATTTGTTTCCACCCAAGACCTGGAGGGGGCAAGGCTAAGGAAGATGTTGTGGAAAAGAACTGAAGCAAGGCCTTTTGGCCGGCAGGTGTGGCCAGCTTCTTCTCCAACTGCGTCTGCCCGCCCAAGGCCACAGCAAGCTTGCCCAGCAGCGGCACCTTTAGGGTCATGTCAGCTGGCTGTTTGCTTTTCCTTCGAAATGGCAGGTGTGGAACGCTCGCGTCGCCCAACGCCAAGATGTAGCCTTTCAGCTCGTGCGCCTTTTCACGGCGACGAGCCTGCCTTTCAGGCAACGTGTCTTGCAGCATTTGGCTCCATTTCTTCTTCAGCGCCTTGTATTTTGCAAGCGTTGACATTCCTTGCAGCTCCCTGCGCATCTGGAGCGCCACATGCGGCTCATCCACCATCGGCGTGGCGGCTTGCACTCCTTTGATGTGCCGCCGAAATCGGAAATCGAATCTGCAAGCGTAGCCCATGGAACCAAGCTCGTTGAGAGCCTCCATCAGCCCCGTGTCCAAAGTGGCATCTGGCTTGGCACGAAGGCACCGCAGAAGGCATGCCCTCAGCTCCACTACTGCCGTATGGTAGAAGGCGATTACTGGCTTCAAAGTTGTGGCGGGGGTGCGCACTTCCAGGCCACACATATTGATCTGGGCCGCCATACTACCTCGGCTGGAGTTTGAGCTGAGATATTTAGTGCCTGCAACCTCTTGGCTACATTCACTGCATCTCTCACCAGCTTGTTCTCGTCTGCTTCTTCTTGCAATTGTGCGGCAATTCAGCCAGAGCACCCAGCAATCGAAAAGATCGTCGACGTTCTCCAGGCCGTCTTGGCGCCCAAGCTCCAGCAAAGACATGTGATATTCATCTCGCGAGATTGGGTCCGAGAGGACCTCATAGGCACGCGCCACTGCCTGGAAGCTTGTGGCATTGCCACCCTTGTCAGGGTGCACAAGCAAAGCTTGCCTATGATACGCTTGAACTAGCGATGGGATGCGCCCCGTGCCACTTGCAAGAGGGCGTACAAGTCAATGACTTCCCCACGATCAGCGAGCTTCCGCTTCTTTGGCGGCATTGGATCATGGAATTGCAGAAGGCAGAACAGTTAATACAAGCTTTGAAGCCCGCGTGCCATACTGTTGAATAGATGATTTCGAAAGTGCATGCATGTGTGTGTGCGTGCGTGTGTTGAGGCGCGACCCTGCTGATGTTTAAGAGCCTGATCTTTGCAGCTTGCACAAGTTCTTTGCAAAGCGTCCACTGGGCTGCTACATTGCTGCATTCCTATCTTAATTACTGTTGAGCCATTCCAGGTAATTGAGTGGCAACTTTAAGCGCCTCATTCAGCCCAGAAACGTGCGCGCTTCGGCAGTGGAATGCCAAGTGCAGCTGTTCAGCAGCTGATGGTGTTGATCTGCCCCGCAAAATGCAAGCCCTGGCCTTGTTGAGCTGCACGTCTTGGACATCATGGCGTCACTTGCCTCGCAGAGTTGCACAGGTTTCGACGGAGTCAGATCAGCGAATTCTTCTCACCCCTTGTACAACTTCGACCCTAGCAAAATCAACTATCCATTAGTGCAGGAGCTGGTTGGTGGCCTGGATTTTCTTGCAATTCTGTTTGTGAAAGCTGGCCCCCCGTGGCGGTGTGTACAAGCCGCATTGGCAATGAAGCGTTGCGAAGAGCTGCAGGATCCAAAGCTCTTAAAGCAATCGGCAGACTTAAGGAAGTAGACCCGCGTTGCAACTCCCGGACCGGGACAAAAATGCTTGTGGCATGGCCCCTGCAACTCGGCGAGTTGCTGTAGGGAGGGAAAAATGGCTTGCAACACGATACTGCTTCTGCCCCCCCCACATCCCAGATTTGCCACCCCTGGGAAGGGCATAATGACAACTACATAATATTTCTTACTGTTGCCGGCCAGCTCACTTGCATTCCGAGTGCTCCCCTTGCCCTTGGTAGTTGGTCCACGGCTCGCATTCCGCCGTGGATCAAAATGCAGCATCGTGTGTTTTTACCCCTTCGAGCTCGGCTGCAAATACTGATAGTTCTCGCGACTTTTGGCGTTTTCATGGTTCGCGCGCCCGCTCAGCACTGCCCCCATGCCAGCCAGATGGTAAGCACACCCCGCTCGCCGACCAATCAGCACTGCACCCATGCCTGCCAAATGGTAAGAACACCCGCTCACGCGCGCCCGCTCAGCACTGTATCCACGCCTGCCAAATGGTAAGAACAAACGCTCACGCGCGCCGTCGCCCAGCACTGTATCCATGCCTGCCAAATGGTAAGAACACCCGCTCACGCAGCACTGTACCCATGCCTGCCAAGTTGTAAGAACACACGCTCATGCGCGCCCGCTCTGCCAAATGGAAAGAACACCACCCGCTCAGAACTGTATCCATACCTACCAGATGGTAAGAACACCCGCTGACGCGCACCCGCTCAGCACTGTATCCATGCCTGACAAATGGTAAGAACACCCGCCCGCGCGTACCCGCTGAGAACTGTATCCTTGCCTGCCAAATGGTAAGAACACCCGCTCGCGCGCGCCCACTCAGCACTGTATCCATGCCTGCCAAATGGTAAGAACACCCACTTCACGCGCGCCCGCTCAGCACTGTGTCCATGCCAGGTTTTTCAGTCAAACTGGCAGCAGACAAGGCCTTAGCGAGTTTTGCTTGCTAGAGGCTCTCCTCTGACAAGGATCGCTGTCAGTGTTTGATTGACAAAAAGCAGTGCATCGTGCCGGTTTGAAAGTAGTTCTCGAGGAACAAAACCCGTGTTTTCATTGGGAAAAACCAACGAAAACAGTAGCCCTGCTTGGGGAGGAGCACGGAAATCACTTAAGATTGATTTGCCACCCATTTCGCCCAAACGGCTTGAGGATTTCCCTCTTTCCAACAATCATGCAAACTGACGGACGGACAGTCGTTGACTTGGAACCCTGTCCACTTTCGATTTATGACAAGAGGCCAACCCAGTGGACACTTTTGCACAACTTTCCCAGCCTCTCAGGCTGCAACTCACTGCTGCGTGAAATCGTGGAGACCTGCCGACCAAAGCTCCGATCCCTCCGACCTCATGGGGACGACCTTCCGTTTCAATCGACACCCTTCCTTTTGGAATGGCCGTCAGACAAATTCCATTCTCAAGGGCAGCAAGCTTGCAACATGAATTGTTAATGACCGATTGGTAGGAAGTGGCTTGCCCGGTTTGCCCCAACACACGACTCCAACCCAAAGCAGGTCAATCGACTTGTTCAGAATGCATGCGCAGGCAAACCAAACTTTGCCAGTCGAATGGCCGCATGTCAAGTTCCTTGCAAAGGCTGGCGATTGCTCCCGCCAAACTCTGCTGCAGGGTCCATCTGTCTCACTTCCAACGATGTCATCCAGGTCCCTTCCCATCCACTACAGTCTGTTTGCTTCCCCTCAATCTGACCATTTTTGGAGCGGAGAAGCTTATTTCTCTCCAAGTCGGACCCCCGAAAGTCACATCGTCGCCTCATAGAAACCAGGATCGTCGGACGACTCCCGCGTCAGTTCAGAGGGCCTGAGGACCACCCAACCCAGCCCCACCCTTAAAGTCCATCTTTCTTGAAAAAGTTCTAACTCGTGCCGCCGCTGGGATGGTTTCAGCAGGCGCACCCAAGCACGTCTCAGGAATGTCCACTCCAACCACCTGCTCACCCAAGCACGAGGCGGCCCTTGCTTCCACATGCCGCTGTAAATGCTTCCCTGGTATCGTTCTGACTGCTAGTTGCATGCCCCCCCCTGTTTTTCTTCCGCGTGAAGAGGCGCACACTTCCCGCCAATCCAGCTCCCAGCTGGAAGCGAACTTTGCAAAGAGATTCAAAAAGAGCTGAGCGACTGCCAACCTTTCAACCGCGCAAAACCGCCACATCCTGAGGAACCGGGCGCGGGCTGCAGGTCCTCAGGCCACAAGCTGAGGGCCAGTCAGATGCACCACACAGCCAGCCCAAATGCGAGGCCTGGCTGTTGCAAATGTTGTTACTTCTGTTGCTGTTTTTGTTGTTTGTGTTGCTTTTCGTTATTGTGTTTTTTGCTGTCCACTGTCACCATGGCTGTTGCCCGCCTTCCGCTGGTTCTGGTTCTGGTTCTGGCTCTGGCTCTGGCTCTGGCTCTGGCTCTAGCTCTGGTTCTGGTTCTGGCGCTGGCTGTGGCTGTGGCTTTGGCTGTGATTGTGACTGTGGCTGTGGCTGTGGCTGCGACTGCTGCTGTCGCTGCGACTGCT